TTTTTGGTACTGGGGAGCTAACTCGGGTCCTTGAGCTTGCCAGGCAGGCGGTGGAACCACTGAGCTAAATCCCCGGCCCTGCACTGTGTGATTCTAAAAGTTACTTCTGGTTAGCCACGCTGGGATTTCCATAAAACAGCCTGCCCACTGAAAGTTCTCTTGAAAGAAAAAGTACTTCTTTCCCAACTTTGCTCTCAGATCTTTGACATGCCTAGCCGAGTGCAGGTGAGCTGGAAGGCCTGTAAGGACAATGCCCACTTGCAGAGGATGGGATACAGGCCTGCCACGGGCATTGGACTGTTAGGATACGTTTTTACTGCGGGCAGAGATGTGAGCTGCTGCAGCCTGGAGGGGCAGGGAATCCATGGGGTTCCCAGGGGGTGGAGGGGCTGCGGGGGCTTCTCCACACTGACTGGTGACGTGTCTTCAGGGAACACGAGAAGGAAGTACAGAACCGGAAGAGAGGCAAGAGACCTAGGGGCAGGCCGCGGAAGCACACGGTGATGTCGTCTTGTAGCCGGCGCTCCAAGCTCAAGGTGTGTGTGGCTGTGGGCTTTTCACGCTGACCCTGTTCATCTCCTCGCTTCCAGAGCAGCCCTGGGCAGGGGGAAGGTTTCAGGCACTCTCGGGCTAGGAGGTGGGCATTTGTGCCGCTGTCTTTCGCTGCCGCCTCATTTGGCCTCTGCGAGCAGGGGGCATCAGCAAGCCCACAGCCCCTAGCCCTCTTTCCACCCCAGGCTGGAGCCTGCAGGACTGATCCCTCTTCCAAGGTGTTTCCCTCTTTGCGTGTTCTGCACTCCTTCCTAAGCTGATCAGACTTGGCCACCACCCACGATTCCCTGTCTTCTCTAGAGGCTTATCGTTGGGATCCAATAAATAAGTGTAGCCGAGCATGGAGCCCAGTGGCCATAATTCCAGCAACACTCCCAGGAGGCTGAGGCAGGAGGATCAAATGAGCAAGACCAGTCTGGCCAACTTAGGGACTTAACAAGAGCCTGACTCAAAAACAAAGGGTTGGGGATGTAGCTCGGTGTGAAGGCCCTGGGTTTGGTCCCCAGTACTGCGTGGAGGCAGAAGCACATATGCAGTATGGACTCAGATTTGCTGCATAGATGTGGGCCTGTGTGACAAATGGTCCAGCCCAGGCCATCGGGCCGCCCTGGGCCCTGCTCTCAGTGCACCGTGAGTCAAGTGAATGCAGGGCTGGGTCCTGGGAGGGCTGAGGGTGGAGACGTCACCGCCTGTTGTCCTGCCTGCTGTGGCAGTGGGCAGTGAGGCGGACGTTTGCTTCACACCACAGAGATGCACATACCTCCAGGTCTCTGGCATCACCTCGGCCCCAACACATGAGAGCAGCCGGGGAGAACTCCTGGCCTCGCTCTTGGGTCTGCCCTGGATTCCGTCCTAGAGACCGGATCCCTTCCTCAGAATCGCGTTGGCTGGTCTGCCCTGACTTCATTTGCCCTCAAACCTGTCCATTCGGTCTTGTCTTCTAAATCTTCCTCTCCAGTGCAAGCTGCGGAGACCCGGTGCCATGAGAAGGGATTTCTGTGGAGGACACGGCCAGTGGCGGCTGAGGCCCTCCAGGTTTGATGGGACAGCCTTGCAGGCAGGCAGTGTGGTGACTCACGAAGCAGGGGGACACGCTTATTTAGCATTCAGGGGGTCACTGGCGAGAAGCACTGTGTGCTCAGAGGGCTCACACCTGGGAGCAGGAGAGGGAAGCTCCTTCCCACAAGGGGGCTCTGCAGTCTGCATCGTTCAGCTCTCAGCCCAGCAAAACTTGTGACCTGTGCCACTCTGGACACGATGCCCTTCTCGGATTGTCTTAAATACAGAGTGCTAGGCGTGCTGTCACCTCACTACAATGACTTCTCTTTGCAGACATCCTACTTCTGGGTTTTTCTACTCTTAATTTTGCCTTTCACAGAACCACGCAAAGAGCTGTTAAATCCTTAGCCAGGTGTGGTGGCGCACGCCTGTAATCCCAGTGTTTGGGAGGCTGAGGCAGGAGGATCACTGAGTTAAACGCCAGCCTAAATTTCATAGTAAGACCCTGTCTCCAAAAAAAAAAGCACAGCAAACATAAATTGTTAAGTCCTTTCGGGAACAGTGTGGTAGGAAATTGCTCTTCTGGCTGCCACCCTGGCCCGCAAGTTTTCAGCACCTGCTGGCTGCAAGGTACTTGGTGCTCTGCCTGGCACCAGGCAGCCGAGGTATGACGCATTCACCCTTGTCTTTCCAGGAATCCGACGCTCCCTCCAAATCTAAATCTAGCAGTTCCTCCTCTTCCTCCACGTCTTCCTCCTCCTCCTCAGATGAAGAGGATGACAGCGACTTGGATGCCAAGAGGGGGCCCCGTGGCCGAGAGACCCACCCCGTGCCTCAGAAGAAGGCCCAGATCCTGGTGGCTAAGCCTGAGCTGAAGGACCCTATCCGCAAGAAGCGGGGACGCAAGCCCCTGCCCCCGGAGCAGAAGGCAGCCCGCAGACCAGTGAGCCTGGCCAAGGTGCTGAAGACTGCCCGCAAGGACCTGGGGGTCCCAGCCGGCAAGCTGCCCACTCCGCTCAGTGCACCCGTGGCGGGCCTGGCAGCCCTGAAGGCCCATGCCAAGGAGACCTGCAGCGGCCCCGGTGCCATGGCCACCCCGGAGAACCTGGCCACCCTAATGAAGGGCATGGCAGGCAGCCCCAGCCGCGGCGGCATCAGCTGGCAGAGCTCCATCGTGCACTACATGAACCGCATGAGCCAGGGCCAGGCCCAGGCCGCCAGCAGACTGGCACTCAAGGCCCAAACCACTGGCAAGTGTGGCCTCGGGCTGGACCTGAAGGTGAGGACGCAGAAAGGGGAGCTGGGGATGAGCCCTCCCGGAAGCAAAGTCTCAAAGGCCCCTGGCACTGGGGCTGTGGAGCAGAAAGGGAGCAGCGCAGGAGGGGCTCCCCACGGCCACGGCGGCGGCAAGGTCCCCGCTGGGTGCCTGGGCTCCCAGCCAGCACCCACCCAGGAGCTGAGCCTGCAGGTCTTGGACTTACAGAGTGTCAAGAACGGCATCCCTGGGGTGGGCCTGCTTTCCCGCCATGCCGCAGCCACCAAGGCTGCCCCCGCCTCCACCCCAGCCACCGGGAAGGGCACTGGGGGTGGCCCCACTGGGGTAAGCGTGCCCAGCGTGCCCATAGACATGGGCAAAGGTGAGAAGCTGGCCTCCAGGGCGGCAGCTCTGCCCACCCCTCCTGGCAAGAGGGAGAATGCCAAGGGCAGTGCCACAGCCAGCGGGCAGGAGGGTCACACAGCCCCAGGGGAAGTTTGCAAGGCAGCCGCCCTCTCAGAGATGAGCACAGCTGAAGAGAATAGCTCTTCGGACTCAGACCCTGACTCATCCTCACTGCCCGGAGCTGGGCAGAGCCTGTCTGTTTCTGTCCAGACCAGCCACGACTGGAAACCCACCCGCAGCCTCATCGAGCACGTCTTTGTCACTGACGTCACGGCCAACCTCATCACGGTCACCGTGAAGGAGTCCCCTACCAGCGTGGGCTTTTTCAGCCTGAGACATTACTGAGGCCTCTGCCACCCAGGTCTTCCTGCCCTCCTGTGTGGTTTTGTTCTGTTGGGTGACCCACAGCCCGACCCTCTCGAGGGGCTGGGGGTGCAGAGGGAGGGTCTCCTAGGTAGGCAGGCTTGGCAGGGCCTTCCCCCAGTCTGCCTTGTCTTTGAACTTACCTTGCTGGGGCCTAGCTTCCCGCTACCCTACTTCTCCAGGCCTCGCTTCACCCCTTTTCTCCTTGGGACGCCCGGGTGCCCTTGTGGCTCAAGCCCTTGCTCAGAATGAGCTTGATCCTCCCACCCTGGCCCTGGTGAGACACGTGGTGGGGTCAGAGAGCTTCTCCTACAGCTGTCTCTTCCCCCCAAGGGGTGGGGAGAGAAAGGGGGAGTTCTAGTAACCCCCTCTTCTGGGCACCATTTCCTGGAAGGTGGGGTGCAGTTGGCAGGCCTTCCTTCAGGGTGGTGGCTGCGCCTTAATGTAGGACAGTTCGAGGAGTGAGGTCACCACTAGGCCCTGGTTCAGAGTAGCAGCTCCAGCCGCCAGGTGTTTGCCTGAGAAAGTTCAGCCGTTTTGGTGCACTTGAGGGGCCTCCAGGTCCGGGGACAGGAGGATCTGGAGTCACCGCCGCCTCCCTCCTGCCAACCCGCACCCCAGTGGGAAGTGACCCTGTGCTCCCTAGAGTGTATCCTAGTTCTGGGCTAAAGCCCTGGAGTTGGGTGGAGTCCGGGTGGGAAAAGGTGCTTTGGTATGAGGTTGGCCGGTGGCGTGTGAGCCTCTCCATAAGCTGGAATTTTATCTCCAGGTGACAAGGGACCAGCCTAGCTCTTGCGCCCCAAAGCTGCCCCCACCAGCGGGCGGAGGGCAGGAGTTTGCTGCAGGCCCATAATAACGCCCCCTGGTGGATGGGCTGTTGCTGGGGGCTGCTTTCCCTGACAATCCCCCCGCCCCTTGGGGGTTCCATGTCTGCTCCTTCCCAGCTGAGAAGAAATTGTCTCTATACCATTTGAGTTCAGGCAGGCTTTCAGCATTGGCCTTGGGATCCTATTCACTCCCCTCCTGGGGAGACACCTGAGATTCAACCACCTTCTCTCCCTGCCCCGCTCAGAGTCATCCGCATCTGTCCTCAGAGTTTGGGACAGAGGTGACCAGGAGGTGGCAGTGGCAGTCAATAAATGTGATGCCAAAAAAGTTGGGGTTAGGGGTATCTGGAACTGCTTGTTGCTTTTGTTGGTCACCCCACAGGTGTGGGATTCTTAACTCTGGGTGCCTTTTGAGGAGTTGCTGCCCTTTCTAAAACTAGCTCAAACTGAGAGGGGCTCTGGTTTCTGGGGGCCTATCCAGCTGCTGGGCTCCACAGTAACTCACCCCCATACCAAACAGAGAAGGTCTTTGTGTAGCCAGATTTGACCTCAACAGTGTGCCTTTGGGGACAGCTTACGTCGGGGACTGCACTGTGGGCCCAGACACAGCCTCCGGGTCTGGTGCACAAGGGCCACCTTGCCTGCAGCGGGAGGCTGGGGAAGGACCTGCTCTGCTGCTAGACCCCTGGCTGCTGCCCTCCCTGAGGGCCCAACAACCTGGAAATCCTGCAGCTTCTTTCCCACCAGGCACTGCTGCCTTAGAAGCTCTTCTAGACCCTTTGCGGGGACCCTGGGCTCCCATGAGCCGTTAGAGAAGTGGGGTGTCTGGCTGACTGGCCAGCTTTGTCCCCAGCTGCCGGTCTCTTCAAACCCCAGTTTGGTGCCTTTTTACCAGCTACTTCAATCCCAAAGTTTAAATCAGTGAACACCTTACTTCCAGCCACTTTGCCTTCTTGCTGTTTTGCGTGTTCCTGGTGCTGTGACCCAGCAGGTGACATTGAGAATGTGTGTGCTGGTGCGGGAGGCCTGCAGGAGATGCTGAGTTAGCCATCTTATGTTTACCAATAAACGTAGTCCTGTTTGTATTTTCATTTGCTGCTATTCGTGTGTGTGTGTGTGTGTGTGTGTGTGTGTGTGTATGTATGTATGTATGTATGTATGTAGCTAGGCATCAGCCACACTTCTGACTCAAGATTCGTTGGTTTATCCTTGAGGGTCCTGGGTGATCTGCGCCACAGTGTCTGTGTCCTGAGTGGTTGATTTAACCTACATCTTTTTTATTTGCTTCTGAGTCAGGTAGGAAGAAGTGGCCAGCCTGACCTCTTTCTTAAAGCATTTGGCTTATTTTTGTATGTATTTTTGGTACCAAAAAAGAGTGTTCCATGCTTTGGTTACAGTCCAAATTGTGACCTGACTAGAGAGCACTCCGGGCCTGAGGTTTCATCCAGAAAACTTGGGGAAGAACCACAGCTTTGAACCAGTGCCAGTCACTGGCTTGATTTGTGTTTTGTTTTTTGTTTTTGTTTTTTTTTTTAATTAAAACCAAGCCAAATCATTCATTTGTGTGTGCCACTTCCAACTGCTTTACTCTGTGCCTGTTTGTTTGCTTTCTTAAGGGGGAGAGCAAGCTTGGGTATGTTACTTACCCTGGGAAAACCAGATCTTTGTTGAAACAGGACAGCAGCCAAGGCCCCATTTTGATGGAGCACAGCCAGGTGGAGGAAGTGCCTCCCCCAGGAAGCCCTCTGTGGTTTAAGGAAAGGGATTGGAGTAGGAGAAAGGTGGTACCTGGATGACCAGATTTTTACCCAAGTGCGTGCATCTCAATTCTGAGGATTTCTAGTACTTTCAGGAAACTAATAACTAGCATAGGTGGCAGGGGTTTTTATAGACTATGTTAATTTATTTTAAAGAAGGAAGACTTGTCCATTCTGTTAACTCTTAGTATACCAATAAATATTTTTGTAAACCTTTCAGCCTGGTGTATGTTGTCAGTGATGCCTGGGGGCAGAGACTTCATTTTGCCCGAGTTGGGGCAAAATACGTGAGACATGGCCTGAATAGTTGAGGCAGGGAAAATCAGGCAGCCATTGTCATGGGGTACAGGGGAAGATGTTTTTGGAAACAAGGGGTGAAGTTTGACTTTGAGTCCACAAGGAAGTGTAACTGCATCCCCTTTGGCAAGGTCTGGAGAGAAGTTTGGTTATCATACAGGAGCGGGTGGTTGGGGCTGCTGACATGGAACAATTCACTTTGAGACCATTGCCAGTAGTACATTAAAAATTAAGGGCACTTGGGCTGGGGATTTAGCTCAGTGGCACCATGCCTGCCTCACAAGCACAAGGTCTTGAGTTTGCTCCCTGGTACGAAAGGGTTGGGGGCATTCAAAGATACCGTGTCAAAGCTACTGGTCTCCCTGGCTCATTTGTAACCCTAAAAGAATGGGTACCACTATGGAATTCCAGGGAGTCCCTGTACGGAACAAGAACCCTTGAACCTGTGGCCCTAGTGTCTCCTACTCAAGGCACTTAAGATGATATTATATAACTTTCCCCACTCCCTTAAGGTTTATGTTACCCTCCGCATGAATTTATTCATAAAATCAAGCCTCCAGGGAGAACCCGGCTTTCTTTGAAGAGAGAATTTGGTCCTGGACGCTGGCCACCCCTGGCGGGGAGGCTGGTTGGGGAGCGGCCTAAACTTTTCCATCCAGGAGGGGGTCATTCTGCAGATAGGAACGCAGCCAGCTCAGGCGCCAGAAAGGGCTTGTTCTTTTGTTGCTTTCTTGGGCTCTGTATTGTTTTGGGAAAGGTGAGCAGGGGCGGTCGGTCCCAGCGGTCCTGTCCTCTTCTGGCTTTTGCTATCAAAAGCGCAGAAAAAAGTTGTGCACAGCCAGAAAGAAGCCAAATGACCATGATGACGAGCCAGGCTTTCGGGAAAACCCATTTCTACAGGGACTGGCCAGACGGAGCAGAGCCCTGGCCCACTCTGGCCTTTGTTACTTTCTGCGCTGCTGGTCTAATCCACCGCCTTCCCAGAAGAATGGACAGGGCAGCAAGGGGCCTGACCCGGCCGAAGGCCCTGCCCAGCGCCCGGCCCGCGCCACTCCAACCAACCCCAGGGCGCCTGGAGGACAGGGGTCGGGCGGCTGGACACCTCCATCCCCTCTACCCCCGCGGCTGCAGAGGGGTTGTGGGGGGACCGAGCCCCCAGCAGCGCCTTTGGGTGGACGGGG